CTTTGTGAACCACACGTGTCACGAGAGTTTCTCTGTCGAACGGGGCAAACCTTACACCAAACACCTTTTAAAACATTTGTGTCTAAATGGTCTTAAATGCCCACCTAGACTGTTAAGAATGGTTGAAGATTCCTATGTGGTCTTGACCATAAATAAAATGTTGATTTGGTTTGATTTAAGATGCCCCTCCTGTCAGAAGCATATTGTTCTAGCCCGTTGCTCTTCTGTATCACTTCCCAGGCTATGGAATGTACACTTTAGGAAGTCCCATATGGCCTCCATTCTTGCAGCATTTAGAAAATCTGCAAAGATGAGAATCTGTTTCCCCAGGCGTTTGTCATTGAAATTCAATGCCTCGTTTAGTGCTAATTTTTATCAATGTTTCTCACTTATTAGATTCTTTCTCTTTTTAAAAGCCTTTAAAAGGTTTTAAAAGTAATAACAGTTTTAACACTAGCTGAAATCAAATCAATAAATATATTTTGTATTAGGTTCCAGACAGAAAGTTTATGACATCACACCTTTATCTTTGCAATATTGCTGCTCTAATCTATTAATATGTATTGTACTACTATGTGCTTAGAAATAACATTGCATGTTGTTCTTTTGTCAACTACAACGTTTAAAGAAATGCAGGGTGTTTAAAGAAATGCAGGGTTTCTACGTGATTACATAGAAATGCAATCTATTTCCAATTAAACAACTACCATGTTAGCATTATAATGAACTTGGAAAGTAGTAGTACACTTGCTAGAGAATCAAAGCACCCTTATCAGGGCTTGTATTTTGCCAAATGCTAATCACTGATATGGTAATGCACTGATTTAGGTGGATTGAGTTGCTTGAACGAACTTCTAGGGTATTATCCCAATTTTCAAGCTGTAATGCTGTAAAGTATGTTTCCTTATTAAACAATATTGCACTGCATACAAGAGTCTTGGTAAGGTTAAAGCAGGTACCATATTATGATGCAGAAATACAATTCAGTGTACCCATGAATATAGGTAAGAGTATATGTATTTTCTAATACAGATATTTTTGGCAAGTAAGAAAGTAGTCATCTATAACGTGTGCTGATTTTTTGCCCGCATGCTAGTCTACCTTTGAATCCAATCAATGGCATTTCCCATGACCTTTAAGAATGCCACTAACCTGTAATACCAACATTTGTTCTTGTCTTGTCAGCAAGTGCCTGTATAAGCCTATTTTTCAGCATTCCTAATTAAACTTTCATTTTTAAAAATGACTTCTTTCGGGTCGCATGCACAAACCATCATTTTCTATTAAGACACGGTGGATTTCGCCAGAAGTATACTCACAAAGCCATCCATTGCCCATTTGTCCTCTTTCAGTTTGTTCACAGAAGTATGGGGTGGTGCTTTAATAAGATATATATGGAGCATTAAACGGGCTTCTTGACTTTTATACACCCCTGTAAAACATAAACATAGTTGATCTGAGCCATTAAAGCAAAAACAAAGTCATCCTCCTATATCTCTAGACAGTCTTTGCAAAAATGAGAAACAAAGGTCAGAGATTTATATGTGGCTCATCTTTTTAATAATAATAATAATTTAAAAACCTATTTCTTTAATTGTACATTATGAATCAACAGTTTAGAAGGTGGTCAGTTCCAGAGTTATTTCAGTAAGCATACCACACACGACAGCCAATTTGGTGCAGTGATTAAGGCATCAGGCTAGAAACCAAGAGACTGTGAGTTCCAGTCCTGCCTTAGGCACAAAGCCAGTTGGGTGACCTTGGGCCAGCCACTCTCTCTCCGCCCTAGGGAGGAGGCAATGGCAAACACTTCTGAAAAACCTTGCTGAGAAAACTGCAGGGATTTGTCAAGACAGTGACCCGGAGTCAGAAACTGACTCAAAGGCTGTATATATGGTATGTGACTTCCTCAATCTCAGGTCCTCTATGAGAGCCCTGGGAGGATTCTGCGCAGTATCTTAGCTATTCCTAGCACTTCATTCTTCTGGACAGAGAGCTCTGATGTTGTTCCTGGGATCTGTTGGAGCCACTCTCCTGCCTTAGGAGTCACGGCCCTGAGTGCTCTACCACCACTGGGACCACTTTGGCCTTGACTTTCCACATCCTCTCTAGTTCCTCCTTCAGGAGGCCTGGTACTTCTCCAGCTTCTCATACTCCTTCTTCCTGATGTTGCTGTCACTTGACACCACTACATCTATCACCACCGCTGTCTTCCGGTCCTTGTCTACTACCACAATGTCTGGTTGATTGCCCAGTACCTGCCTGTCCATCTGGATCTGGAAGTTCCACAGGATCTTAGCCATTTTATTCTCCATGATCTTCTGTGGAATCTCCCATCTGGACTTGGAGGATCTAGCCCATACACTGTACAGATGTTCTTGTACACAATGCCAACTACTTGGTTGTGCAATTCAGTGTATGCTGTTCCTGGCTACAACTTACACCATGCCACAATGTGCTGGACTGTCTCTGAGGCCTCTCTGTACAGTCTGCACCTTGGGTCCTGTCTACTGTGATAGACCCCTGCTTGTACGGATCTGGTGTTTAGTTGCCTGTTCTTGTGCTGCTATGAACAGTGCCCTTGGTGCTGTCTTTTAGTCCAGCCCTTTCCAGCCGCTGGAAGGATTTCCCAATGTCAGCCACCTCAGCTATCTCTCAATGGTACATCCCATGCAGGGGCTTGTCTTGCCGTGGCACCTCCTCTGCTTGAATTTCCTCCCATGTCTGCTGCTGCGTCAGGCATTCTCTCAGCAGCTCATCCTTGGATGCCATCTTACTGATATACTCCTGGACGCTTTGGATTTCATCCAGGACAGCGGTTTTGACTCACCAGATCCCATCTGCCCTTTTTCCAGCTGCTGTACAGTCTCCGGGTGTTGGACCTGGGGTGGAAACCTCCGTGCCTTGTGAGGAGTTTCCAGGTCTTCACATCAACAGCCTTAATGTCCTCCTTTGGCCAGCTCAGTGTCCCAGCAGAGTATCTGATGACTGGCAGGGCATACGAGTTGATGGCATGGATCTTGTTCTTCCCATTAAGCTGGCTCTTCAGGGCCTGTATTATCCTTTGGTGGTATTTGGATGTTGCTGTCTTCCTTGCCTCCTCCTCATGGTTCCCGTGTGACTGTGGGACACCAAGGTATTTATAGCTGGTCTCTATGTCTATGTGGCCCATTGGTAGTTCCGCCCCATCAGTCTCAACTATATTCCGTCTCTTTACTACCATCCAGCCATACTTCTCCAGTCTGAATGACATTTCAATATCTTCACCATAGATCTGTGTCAGGTGGATCAGTGAGCTGATGTCTCGTTCACTCTTAGCATATAGCTTAATGTCATCCATGTAGAGGAGATGGCTGATGGTAGTTCCACTCTTGAACTTGTTTCTGTATCCAGTCCTTGTGATTATCTGGCTGAGGGGGTTCAAGCCTATGCAGAACAGTAGCAGGGACAGTGCATCACCTTGGTATATGCCACACTTGATGGTTGCTTGTGCAAGCTGTCTTTGTGCGAGCTGTCTTGAGTTGACTTCCAGTGTTGTCTTCCACAGTCCCATTGGGTTCTTGAGGAAGATCCTTAGTGTCTTGTTGATTTTGTATTTACAGACATTCACAGAGTCATGTGTGTGGCAGTCAGTCATAGGCCTTCCTGTAGTCAATCCAGGCTGTGCTGAGGTTGGACTATCTAGACCTTGAGTCTCAGGCAACTTCTCTATCTATTAGCAACTGGTGTTTTGTTCCCAATGCCCTTCTGAGCCATGCTCATGTACTGGCCCATATTGTCCTGTAGCTTGGCACCTATGATGCTTGATAGGACTTTCAATGATGTGGGGAGGCAGGTTATTAGCTGGTAGTTGGACTGTGCTGTTCCCTTGTGGGGGACTTTCATGATCAGCACTGTCCTTCCTTGTGTTAGCCAGTCTGGGTGGGAGCCTGCCGCTAGCAGCTGGTTCATCTGTGGTGCTAGATCTTCATGCACTGCTGTTAGTTTCTTTAGCCAGTAGGTGTGGATCATGTCCAGGCCAGTTGCTGTCCAGCTCTTCATGTTCTTGACCTGCTATAAGATGTCTGCTACTGTAATGGTGACTGGTTCCACATCTGGGAGATTTCTGTGGTCTGCTGTCAGGTACTGCAGCTACTTTTCACTGGTGTTATGTGTCTTCTCTTTCTCCCATATGCTCTTCCAGTATTGTTCAATTTCTGCTAGTGGCTCTGCCATTACTGTGTTGTTGCACTGCAGTTGGGAATACACTTTGGATAGTTCTTTGGAGAACAGGGCATTTATTTTCTTAGCCTGCTAGCCAGTGCTATGAGCTTTTGTTTAGCAGTCTCTAGGGCTTCAAATAAAGTCAGGCCCTTGTATTTTTGTGGAGTCCTTGGGGTTCTCTGAGCTCAGAGAGCCCCAAGGACTCTGCAGTTCAACCTGAGCTACACATATTCTCTTCTATCAGTACCTTTTATTTATTTCAGTAGCTGCATCTTATCCTTAATCTCCACATCCTTCTGTAGTTCCACCAGCTAATTAACTTCTCTCTAAGTTGCCTTGATCTTAGCCTCCAACCTCATTTTCCATGGGTTGTACTACTGTTCTTGATTGTGTAGCCAAGCACCTTTAGGATTACAGCAGCTATAGCATATACCAGTTCATTGGTTTGAGTTATGGTGGTAGTAGGGTATGTTGTGAAGGCTTTATTGGCACCTTCTAGCATATTATCTGATGGTACTTCTCCACTAAGCATTGGTAATCAGTCTCAAGGGTTGACTGTAGCTAGTTATACATGATTCTGTGCCTTATATTAGCTGCTGTGCTCTGTAATGGAAGGGATGGCAGTGACATTTCAGCTTCAGGTGTTGGCTGCATATCCAGTTGTTCTTCTGGATCTTCTTGAATCTGGGAGGTAATGTGTAGTTGGTCTATCTCAAGTTGTGAGAGCAGCTTCCTCTTCATTATGTTGAAGCTTTGGGTAAGTAGCTGTTTCTCAGTTAGTGTGGATGTAGGTCTTCTGTCCACCCATAGTTCTGTCCATCAGTTCCGGGTTCTCTTGTGTCATCCACATTGGGTTGGCCCAGTAGGCTACTTATCATCAGATTGTCCTGGTTTTGCAACATCTGAAGTGGACCTTGTTAATCCAGGTGACATCTGAGCCAGCATGGCTCCTTAGTTTGTGTCACTCTCATTTCCAAGGTAGGCAAATGAAGTGTTATGGGGTCTTTGCCCAATGACCCCTATTTGTAAGTTAGGTACCAGCTGGGATTCAAACCCCAGTCTCCCATGTCAAAGGGTGGTGTTCTAAACTCTATGCTTTCCCACTGCTTTCATATATGTATACACTCACACACACACACATACATACACATTTATACCCACATACATACACACACATACCATGCACACCAACGCTAATTTTGCTGCAGATTCAGGTCTACTGAAATCAGTGTCAAAAATTAAAAATCATTCAGGTAAATCCTACTGTATCCAGTTATTGTTAATTGCGCTTTGCTTAGTTTATGTTTGATTTCATGGGAGGGAGGGAGGGAGGGAAGGAAGGAAGGAAGGAAGGAAGGAAGGAAGGAAGGAAGGAAGGAAGGATCTAGTCTGTATGTAAAAACCAATAATGGAGGAATGATGTTCTTTCTGCCATTGTTCTCAAGAACTGGTGATAGACAAAGCCTCTAGAAGACAAAGCCTCTAGAAGCCTCTAGAAGACAAAGCCTCTAGAAGGAAGGAAGGAAGGAAGGAAGGAAGGAAGGAAGGATCGATCTAGTCTGTATGTAAAAACCAATAATGGAGGAATGATGTTCTTTCTGCCATTGTTCTCAAGAACTGGTGATAGACAAAGCCTCTAGAAGACAAAGCCTCTAGAAGCCTCTAGAAGACAAAGCCTCTAGAAGGAAGGAAGGAAGGAAGGAAGGAAGGAAGGAAGGATCGATCTAGTCTGTATGTAAAAACCAATAATGGAGGAATGATGTTCTTTCTGCCATTGTTCTCAAGAACTGGTGATAGACAAAGCCTCTAGAAGACAAAGCCTCTAGAAGCCTCTAGAAGACAAAGCCTCTAGAAGGAA